CACGCAACAGTCTAGTCAATGTTGTCGAGTTCGGCCTACATGGTCGGCAAAAAAGACCTCTTTTTTCAGACAACAAAGTCGACAAAGGAAGTACTGGGATTTTTTATTTAGACAGGTACTGGGATTTTACAAGTGCAGCGACTATTTTTTGGGCTCAAAAGTGTGTAACCCCGTAGGCTCCGGGAAATAAGAAACAACAATTCGGGCTCAAAATGCAGGGCCCAAAAGTGTATCAAACGGGCCTAGCGCAGCGCTGCTCAAAGCTAGGCCCGTGCGGGCAGGAGACGACGAAGGTGGGCCTCCGACGCTGCTGCGTGCGGACGCGGCCCCGGCCCCGGCCCGGGTGAGGCACCGTTGAGTCCATCATATGCATTCATGCGCCATTCCCCGCCACTCCCGGTTTGCGCAAGACACAAAAGAAATGGAGCAGAAAAAGGAAGCAACAGCGCATATTTGGACTCGAATCGATCATGCTTCGGCTACACATTTGCTTTCCGCTCTGAAGCAACGTTTCTTCCTTGGGCACCTGCCGTTCCGGGTTTTGGAGGTAACACGTACTAAGGGCTCCTCCAATTCAAAGGATTTGATCAGAATTTTGAATGATTAAAATTCTTAGAAAAGAAATTCTATGTTGGTTGTTTGCTTCACTGGATTGAATCCTAGGTTTTTTTTACTACTTTGCGTAGGATTTCTAACATCAACTCAAACTTCTCTAAAAGGGTCTTTTGTTTTTTCTATAATACAATCAAACAACCCAAAATCATGTAAGATTGTGATGGGCAACATAATCCAATCTTATGTTTTTTTCTATTACCGCATTTCTAGAATTCTACGAATCAAAGAGGCCCTTGGTGTTGTCGAACCTTTAGCGCGAAAAACAAGAAAGAAGAAAAAGTCCTCCCCCAAAAAGAGAAAAATTCACTACAGGTCCATTTACTTACACTGACGTTAGCTTTAGTCCCTGTAGTTACAAATACCCGCAATACGGTCACCAAACTTGCTCTAGGGGGTCATCTACGGTCCATTATACGGTTTTGTGTACGTATGCGATGAGCTGGCCCGAGTCAACCGATGCCAAGTGTGCTTTGACTGCCACATGTGCCAGCTCGCTCGAATACGCAGGGAGCCAGGTTTTTTTTTTGCAAAACTGACAGTTATTATCCCCTCCCCACCTGGTCGGATCGAGCCACCTGGTCGGGTCAGACCGAGCCACTCCCCTGCTTCTCCCTTCTCCCTTCTCCCCTGGTTCGTCGTCGCTGCCGAGGTGGTTCGTCGTCTCCGGCGTGGGCGAGCGTGGCGACGGCACCATGAGCTCGTCGTCGGACGCTGCACCTGCATCATCGTAAGCCAGGACGTGCAGGTGAAGCGGATGCTCAGCTCCAGCTTGCCCATCTTGCGCATGCCGACGAGACGCACCGCCGTGAGCGCGTAGTTGGACAGCATCCCCACCGGCAGCTTGGACAGCTGCTTGGACGTGGCGCGCACGTGCTCACCACATTGGCCGCCTCGTCCAGCACGTGGTACCCGCCCTCGAGGCAGACACGAACGTGCACCCGCCCGGCGTACTCGCCCGGTCTCGTCGCCACACAGGTTGAGCCACTGTGACGGCGGCTCGACCCGGTCGTCGGAGCACCGGTGCACCGTGGAGAGCGGCACGCGCCCCTGGCCGACCAGCTGCCCGGAGAAGACGTCCTCCATGGCGACCATCGGGAAAGGGTCGAACGGCTCGGCGCGACGAACAGCAGGTCCTTGTTCCAGCTTGGGTTGGACGCCCCGGCCGCCGCACTGCCGAACGCGATGCGGCCGGTCTTGAACACCTGGGCGCCCAGCTGCTTCTTGACGTACAACTCAGGGAAGGTGGGGTCGAACTGCTTCGCCTTGGCATCCGGCGGCGACGGCAGCCGCAGGTCCTGCGCCTGGATGACGCTAAGGCGGAGGTACCATAGCTTGGGGCACAAGTACGCCTTGGAGCAGGTCTGGACCTGGTTGCCGCCGGAGTTGGACTGCCACGCTTCCTGGAACACCTCGTCAACCTGCGTGCCGACCCACACGACGAGCATCACGTCGCAGGCCGCGGTACAATCCTCGGCTTGCCCCTCCTGGGTGTAACATTGCGGCGTGAGTGCCTGTCCGGCGGCAACCTCTTGGGCACTTCCTGCAGGTCGAAGGAGACGAAGCCGAGGTGCGCGTCCGGCGGAGTGGGCTCGCCCTCCTTCTCCGACTTCTTGGCTTCCTCGTGCACGGCGACCTCCAGCGAGGAGGCGGTGAGGCTGGCCTTGTGGAACGCGAACACCTGGTCCCACTCGCCGGCGGTCGTGGCGGCTCGAATCCGCACGGTGTGTGCGCCGATGCAGAGTTGCGTGTACAGCGGCTACTTGTCGCCGTCGTCATGATTCTTCTTCGCCTTGAGAAGCCGGAGGAACAGGTAAGGCACACGATCCACCAAGTCATACGACGTGCTTCCGCCACCCGAGGAGGCCATGCTCCGCTCGACAGCGGTCTGGGGAAGGATCTCAAGATCGCCGGTGACTCATGCGGTGGCTAGCTGCATCTTGGACGGTGAGGGCGGCGTAGCCTTGGACGGAGGAGGAGGCACCGCCACCTCCTTCATGTCCTCCTTGGCTTTCCCTTCCTCATTGGGCTTCTCGCTGTCCTTCTTCCCCTTCTAAGGTGACTTCTTCTTGCCCCGCGTCCTCTGCCTTCTTCTCCTCTGGTTTGGCATCCTCTGCCTTCTTATCTTCCGCGGGCGCCGCCACCTCCATCTTCTTCTCCTCGGCAGCGGCAGGAGCAGCCTCAGTCGGCTCCTTATCCGCAGGGGATGGCTGCGGCGGCGGGAACGGACCATTTGGGAACGGGGGGAGGCCGAGGGGAGAGATCTGACCAAGGCGCGACGGCTCGGTCCAAGACAGCGGCCGAGGAGGGCTGTTTTGTTCTCCGGCGTTTTTGCAAAACCCCATGCTTTCCTTTGTATTCAGGCGAACAAGATGGCATGGCAGTCAGCGCACGCGTGGCACCTGTTGACTACTGCCATATCAGCGTGTACGTACAAGAAACCGTATAATGGACTGTAGATGACCCTTTAGAGCAATTTTGATGACCGTATTGCGGGTATTTATAACCACATGGACTAAAGCTAACGCCAGCGTAAGTTTGATGACCTCTAGTGAATTTTTCTCCCCCAAAAAAGATTGGTATTAACAGGAAGTTGGAGAGAAAACACTCTGCAACAGATCTCGTAAACCCGAAGTAACTTTAGAGTATCATGTAAAGTAGGCCCATCTTCCCTTTGGTTTACACGAAGATCATCCTCCAGTAAAAGTTTTGGCGGCTAGAAACCGCCTAGAAGCTGAAACTTTACGCGTCGGCGTCGCCCCGCCGGACCGCACTATCGTGTTGCCGCCACGCCGTGCCGCCCCACCGCCTCTCCAACCTTGCGTCACAGCTACCCTCACGCTGCTGCTGCCGCTGCCACCTCGCCACTAACCTCGCCTCATCGCGCCGCCACTGACTTGTAGTCCCTCGGACATTAGCTAGAAAAGTTTAATGGAAAACTGGAAGAAAAAACAGGGGAAGAAATTTGCGAAAACTGACAAAAACTGCTTTCAAACAACTTCCTATAGATTATACAGCCATCCAGTGAAACCACTAAGGCCTCCTTTGGTTTGAAGAAATCTTGTAGGAATTTCATATGATAGGATTTGTATGGAAAAATTCCTTTAAAGCCCTTTGGTTTGTAGAAATAGAATCCTATTTCTATGCAAGAATTTTTGTTATCCTCCACATTTCATAGGAAAATAAATATCAGGCTAAAATCAATGAAAAAATTCTTATGATGTGAATCATCCTATTCATAGGATTTTAGATACATGTCATCTCATTTCTTATGACTTTTATATTCTTGTGATTTTTCTACCTATGAACCAAAGGAGGCCTAAGTCTTTTAAGAAAACCGTTGGAGCTGCTCTTGCTTCCAAAGCAAGGTACAGAATCCTCATAAGAGATCCTTTGACCATCTTCTAGAAACACTCCCATCTTGATCTTATCATTCCATCCACTAGTATTTCGCCTCATCGCCTACATAACCGGATCTTGCTACAGCGGTTGACTAGAGCCAACTTGGATCGATCAATTGCTCGGGTTCGACTCCCCATCGAAATTCAAAATCGGAAGTGCCAGTGGCACTGCAGCCCAGGCTACAATTATCTTCGTTTCCCGTCGGCCATCCCCACAAGGAGACAGGAAAGGAGAGCGCCACACCACCTCACATGCACGTACGTCACGGGCACCCGCCCGCTGTAAATTCCAAAACCTTGAGTACTTGTGTGCCCCGCGCTCCAGAATCCAGAGCCCGTTCCTGTCGGATTGGCGCGTCTCTGTTCGGCACCCGGATGATTGAAGGGCCGAAAGAACGAACCGCAAAACTGTTTCACGGATGGAAGAAGAAAATAGCTGCAAACTGGGATGTACCGACACGGAGCTACTGGCCTGCTGCCATGTGTTCCATGGCTCCCACAATGTCGACAGTACACCACCTAGTATGGTCGGATGTACCGGGTCGAATGAGACCGCCGAACCGACGGCTTGTCGACCATCACAACTGTTTTAAGCATCATCAGCAGGACTGATCATCAACATCAACCCGGGTTTATGGACCTCTCAATGAAGATAAGAGTATGTTAACTTAGCCAAAAAAAAATAGCCATTTCACCTAGGCAAGAAGCTGCGGTGCAGCAGGAAAGAAGACAAAACAAAAGAGCAAATGCACTTTTTCCGGGGAAAAAAGAATTAATTGATCAAAAGCTGGAGCACTCAAGAAAAAAAAAAACTGCACTAAAAATATGCCCGTGTGCACATGTATAAAGGCAAAGAAGGCCCAGAAGCTGCAAATTAAAAAGACAGAACACCGAAGCACTGAAGCACAGCTCCACCTCCATTTCACACTCTCCCCTGCTTCACTTCACTGAGAGGGCGGACGGACGAAAAGCTGCTTGCTGGGAGCCATGGCTCCCCCGCTCCTCCTCCTCGTCGTCTTCCTCCTCCCGGCCCTCGCCGCCGGCCACCAGCACCCCTCCTCCTACGGCTCCTCCGCCCTCTCCGAATGGCGCAACGCCAAGTCCTCCTACTTCGCCGCCGACCCCGGAGACGCCATCGGTAAGCACGAACAAACCTCGCCTCGCTCTCCGCCCTCCCTTCGTCATGGCAGCAGTCCAAGAAACGAATCCACCAAACTGTCCTTGCACTTTTACCAAAATTCCTCGCATCCATGCCGCAGGCATTAATTAGTTTTCCTCTTTCGGTATGTTGCCGCCAACGGAATTTCCACTAACCGCACGCTCGGTTACCGGAGCTTCTCTGCTCGTACCACAGTTGGTTCTTGCGATCCTGGCGGCCATGGACATGGGTACGGAGCTGATCTGTGCTTTCTTTTTGTGGGTTGCGGCGTGCAGGTGGCGCGTGCGGGTTCGGGGATCTGGGGAAGCACGGGTACGGGATGGCGACGGTGGGGCTGAGCACGGCGCTGTTCGAGCGCGGCGCCGCCTGCGGCGGCTGCTACGAGGTCAAGTGCGTGGAGGACCTCAAGTACTGCCTCCCCGGCACCTCCATCGTCGTCACGGCCACCAACTTCTGCCCGCCCAACTACGGCTTCCCGGCCGACGCCGGCGGCGTCTGCAACCCGCCCAACCACCATTTCCTCCTCCCCATCCAGGCGTTCGAGAAGATTGCGCTCTGGAAGGCTGGCGTCATGCCCATCCAGTACCGCCGGTACGTATGCTCCATTCTTGCCTGCACTCGATCTCACTCTGCTTTGGACTCCATGTTCGGCTAGATCTAAGGCAAAAGTTTCCTTGGTTTCCTGATTCAATCTGTGTGGAGCTGGAAAAGTGCTTGCCAAGCTAGAGATTGCTTTGCTTTGCCGCAATGTGGGATCCCGGAAAAGCTGAATTGCAAGTGTCCGTTGGTGAGGAAAGTATGGGGGGGATCATGGGGGCCCTCTTCCACTGTGGTGAAGTGCAAGTTCTTTTGGTTAGGATTCGAATTAGGGTAGTTTTATCTGCTGTCCTGGCCTTCTTATGCTCTATAATGTGGCTTTCCTTTACTAACAAGGTAGTACAAAGATGCATAGAACCAAGTGTAAATGTACTAATGTGATTCAGTGTTTGGGTTAGGAGGAAAGCACCTATGAGCCTTTTGATGCAGCATCGAGCCATTGACTATCTAGAGTATCACATGCTCGATTTGCGTGATTTGATCAATTATAGTTGTACTGTACTACAGTTTGGTTCAGTATTTGCATCCTATTCATTGGTGTAAGCATTAGACTTCCGTGGCTCCTTCAGTTTATTTTCTTCTTTGGGGCTCTGTTGGAATTAAAACAGCGCTATCATCTCGATGATGATAATGCAGCTGGTGATAACTAGTTGTCCTCCCTCCGTTTTTATTTACTCCGCATATTAGGTTTGTCTAAAGTCAAACTTTATATACTTTAAACAAGTTTGTAGAAAGATATATTAACATATGCACCACCAAATATATATCATTGGATTCATCATTGTATATATTTTCACATCATATAAATTTTATTCCACGATTCACGACGGTCTATGGTTACTAGAGTGCAGAATCTGTATGCTGAGTTATCATAACTCATACGAAGAAATTAATTAAAAACATAAAGAAACTAAGCACCTCTTATCTGAGTGATTATCCTGGGTTTTGTTGACAACTGAGGAATTCTGAGAAATGTGGATCCTATTGACAGTTAGTGCTTAAAAATTATATTGACTGCTGTAAGGACTGGTTGAACCATATTAATGGAGAGTTTGCAAGAATGTTTTTGGAACTTCTAGAGTTGTTGATCTGCACCGAACTAGCATCACCAAGTTATTTGCTTCTGGGTTTACATGATGTGCCCTCCAGTACCCGGTATCACCAAACTGGCCCTACAAATAGTAGTGGCGCATTAACTGGTGTTGTCCTTAATATTCTGTGGTTATGTTTGATATTTATGCCAGTTGGTAGCTCCTTGGGATCCTTTAAACAACTTGATCTATTTTCTTGAGGGAAATTTAGTTGATTATTTGTAATACTAAAACTGTGTTAAAAAGGAACTTTGGACAGTTACTTGCCTGGCCGCTTAATCATCTTAGCTTTACTCTTTTTGTGGTTTGTGATTGGTATTTAAGATCCAAACAGATTAGGATATGGCAAATGGTAACACTTCACACTCAAATTTGGTAAATTAGCAAGCACTATTCTGGTGCTGCTCAGAACATAAAGTTAGCAACCTGCATATATGCCACACTTAAAAGGTGTAGCAGAAATCTATAATAATAGGTACTTCTAGATGTTTTCATGAATGACAGGTTTAATAAAATGTGCTGTTAATGTGCTTCTTTTATCCTCAAGATTTCATGTTTCAAATCATCAGATGACAATTAGCCTGGGGCAATTGGCAGCAATATCGATCCTGCTGTGCTCTGCGACTAAACTATGTCAGACTTTAGCTTCATCAGCTGTTATATAGCTCCTTTACTGTTAGCGTATAGCAATCAGCACTATTTCCAAGAGAAAGAATAGATGTATGGTAGAGAACAAACCACTGTTTCACGGAACAGCAAAAATGCACATCATCAATAATAAAGCTATTAGCCTATTACACAAGTTATCTGCTTCTCAGGTATGCATGAGATACCTACCTGGTGACAATCAAATTGGCCCTGCAAGTTGTAGTGGCACATTAATTGTGGTTGTCCTTGTTATTCTATGTTTGTGTTAGATATTTATGCACTGGTTGGTAGCTCTTTGAGGTCCCTTTGAAACAACTTCATTCGATTATTTTTCCACAGAAAACTTCATTATTTATTGGTGCTACTAGGACCGTCTTGAACTGAAACTAATCATCTTAGCTTGTGCTTACACTTCATTTTATTTGTTAGTGTTCAAATTCAAACAGATTACGATCGCATCTGTAAATTAGTGAAGTTCTACTCCTGAGTCATTCAGAATATAAAGTTAAAAACGTGCACGAATGCTAAACTGAAAAGTATATTATAGAAGGGTGTAATAATCGATATGTGCGTCTAAGTTGTCTAGTTGCTTGAAAAGTTGAGGTGCTTCTTTGAGATGGTTTCCTGAATGATGGATTTGTACAACATTCTGCTATCAATGTGCTTTCGTGATCCTGGAGATTTCATGTTTCTTAGGACAATTGATATGAGGGCATTTGACATGGAAATATAAATCCTACTATGATCTGGGACTAATCGATGTCAGGCCATTTCATTACTTGTTAAGTAGTTTGCAGGATTCGCATGAGAACAAGTGAAGACAAATAAAGCTACTGATAGCATTAACCTGTCGGAAAAAATGCCTCTGGTTCTTTGCTGAGATTGACTTGCTTTCTTATGAACAGCGTCAAGTGCCTTCGTGAAGGCGGCGTGCGGTTTTCGGTCTCCGGGAAGAGCTTCTTCTTCACAGTCCTAATCAGCAATGTTGGTGGCGCTGGTGATGTGAGATCAGTGAAGATCAAAGGAACAGAGTCTGGCTGGCTCGATATGGGCCGCAACTGGGGCCAGATATGGCACATCAACTTAGATCTCACAGGGCAGCCGGTGTCCTTTGAGCTCACCTCGAGTGACGGCACGACAATGACCAATTTCAACGTTGTGCCCAAGGATTGGGAGTTTGGCAAAACATACACTGGCAAGCAATTCCTGCTCTAGAGAATTATTGATAGCGACTTACAATTTCTCAAAGAAGAAAAATCATCCTATGAGTTGGTTGTAGTAATGTATATCCTTCTGAGGAACAAGATTATTATTAGGAAAGGAATATAATCTCTACTGTACATTCCTCTGAGGAACGAGCTGATTATTAGGAAACATATCAGTTTAGTGCAGAGCCTCAGATAGTTGTTCTACATACTACATGCAGTTGTAATTGTTGGATGTACTATTTCAAATCTGATAGTTGCTCCAGACTCCAGAGGCTTGATGTATCATTCGGAAATGGTCTGACAGTTGCCCCAGTGCTTGATGTATCATTCAGAAACATTCTGGTAGTTGCTCCACATGCTCGTTGTATCATTCAGGAAATAGAAGGCCATATTTGGCGTTTTGATTTCATATTTGTATTGACTAGATTATTTATACCCCGCCAACATTGAAACATTTAAGATTTTATATATGTAGATCTGCAAGAAAAAATTCAAGAATCACTCCCCAGTAAAACCAAAACCAAACAGAAAGGTCCATCTCTTCTACAGATTGCAACGAGGGATAATCATTCATTCAATTGCATTTCAGCAACAACTCGAATGTTCAATACCGGACCCATTGCAGTTCAGCTACCTGTCCAATGTAAACATTGGTTCAGTTCCATTTCAATTATAACTCAAATGTAAAGTTGCAGCAGTAAAGCTATACCAACTAAAGCTAGAAATATAATACAGTAGAACAAATTAACCAGACTTATAAAAATCAAAACCAGATTCAACGCAGCTACTTGATCAGGATTTCAGGAATAGGTATCTGCCGTCTTGATTCACATTTTTATGGAGTGTTCATACTTCATACCACTCCAACAATAACATCTCTGCATCTGTAGATCTGCACAGAAAAAATATATCAAGATTCGTTCCCCAGTGAAACCAAACCAAATCAAAAGAATGCATCTCTTCTACACATTGCAACGAGTGGTAAATCGTTCATTCAATTGCGTTTCAACTAAGTCAAATCAATTGCACTTCAGCTACACACTATCTAAAACGAGAAGTATAATAGAACAGATCAACCAAAGTTAGAAAGCCAAAACTGAATTCAACACAGCGAAGCACTTGGTAAGGATTCAGAACAGAACTAGTTTCATTGACCGCAACAAGGTATTACAGCCTATGAACACAAGACACGGAACACAACGACGCACGCCAAAGCGGTAGCAAATCCCATCTCCCACAGCACACATCACAGAGGACACACGACAGACACAGTCCCAACTACCGCTACCGCCACCCGCGGAACCCACGGATCTAGCCTCCGAAGCCGTAGAGGGTGCGGCCCTGGCGCTTGAGCGCGTAGACGACGTCCATGGCGGTGACGGTCTTGCGGCGGGCGTGCTCTGTGTAGGTGACGGCGTCGCGGATGACGTTCTCGAGGAAGATCTTGAGCACGCCGCGTGTCTCCTCGTAGATGAGGCCGGAGATGCGCTTCACGCCGCCCCTCCTGGCCAGCCTCCGGATCGCCGGCTTGGTGATGCCCTGGATGTTGTCGCGGAGCACCTTCCGGTGGCGCTTGGCGCCGCCCTTGCCCAGCCCCTTGCCGCCCTTGCCGCGCCCCGACATCGCCGCTCCGCCTAGCTCCGAGAGGTGTGCGAGATTGGGAAGAAGAGGAAGTGCTGCTGAAGCTTGTGTTGGGATTGGGGGCTGAGGCGGGTTTATATCGAGAGGATTTGGGAGGGAAGCGCGGGATTTTGGTGGGTTTGGGGCGGGAGGCGCTTGCCGGGTCGATCCGTGGGACGGTGGGTGTGGGACGTTGGATTGAAATGAAGGGTCGGATGGGGTGCGGGTGCGAGGCTGGTGGCGCGGATCGATGACGTGGCGGCGGATGGATTTGAAATTGGAGACCGGGGACTAGAGGAGCGCGGTGGATTGCAATGTGTCTGCTTTTTTTTTTGAACTGTTGCAAAGTGTCTGTCGGTCAGGACGGTATGGAACATGGGAGGGCCACAACGTTGCTCCAGAGCAAGCGGGCGGGTCAGCACTTCATTTCAAATAGTTTGAAAACCATATTTAAAAGTTTTAAAAAATACTAACAAAAATTTTATGTGGTAGTATGGACATACACTATACACCTGTGAAGTTTGATGACGAAGTAAATTAACATGTGCTACACAAAGAAGACAAGAGCGTGGATTTTTTTGGGGGGATGAACAATGTGTGCATGGTTTAACTTTTCAAATTTAAGAATTGCCATATTTTATGTGTTTCGTCATCAAACTTTACACATGTGTAGTATACATTCATATTACTGTGTAGGGTTTGTTTCCAAATAAAGCGTTCAGGACACCCGTGTGTCCAAAAATGCTTTTCACAGGTGACCCTTCTCTGTTGTGGAGTGCATGTTTTGTTTCCCTCAAAAAAGTAAGTGTAAGTTTTGTTGAAGCATAGCCAATGCTCTGCCACCGAGAGTTGTCTCGGCTCTAAACATCGTGCTCAAATTGCCTAGTTAAGTCTACTATGCAGCACTACCTCCCTAGACTAGAGATCAAAGAGGAACCCTAAAAACTAGAAGTGTATCCATGGAGTGAAAAGATAGAGAGGGGGAAGGGAGATACCGGAGGAGGACCCCGTCTCGAAGGATCTGCATGGAGCAACGATCCCCGACGGCACCTGGAGGAGCACCGGCGAGGGGAGGCGACGGCGGCGACGCTGGAGGTCCCTGGGGTGTGGAGGGGGCGCTGGTGGGAATGAACCCAAGCCCCCACCCCGCCCCACCTCTTCAGGGCCAGTAATCGCAGACCCCGTGCGCACGGTACATAGCTCGTGGACACGGGGGGGCCGTGCGCACGGTACAAGCCCGTGGACACGGGGTACTCAGGAACTTTTGACCAATGATATCCCTTGAAGGCATGGCCAAATGGAAATTCTTACCAGGCTTTGAAGGAGCATTTTAGTCTAAGTTTCCAAATACATAGCATGTGAAATCCAACACTACTAGAAGGGTATATGTGGAGCACTTTGCACTAGATGAGAAAATCAACAACACAATGAATCACACGAGAACCAAAAACACAAGAGAGACAAATACAACACACACAAGAAAACAGATTTTAACCTCCAAAGGAGGGCGGTGGCCGAAGCCACCATGTTTGAGTTTGTTTGGTATGGCACCGCGGAGATATGAACCTTTGGCCCAAGACCACTCATCTTTGAAGCACAAGTGCCACCTAAAACTGGCTAATGTGAAAGATTTTGTTCAATTTATGCACTTCTAGGATGAGGTTTACGTTTTTTCCTTCTTTTTGAGTTTCGCGGAAAAGGACTATCAAACGGAGTCCAATTACCTTGAAAATTTACGGAGACTATTTTTTTACCATAAGAAGCCCACGGAGCATTGTAGATGGACCAGAAGAGTCCCGAGGCCACCACGAGGGTGGAGGGCGCACCCTACCCCTTGGGCACGCCCCCTACCTCGTGGTTGCCTCGTGGACCCCCCTGACTTGTTCCCGACGCCAACACCTGTTGTATATCCCCAAACTTCTAGAACAGAACCTGGATCGGGAGTTCCGCCGCCGTAAGCCTCTGTAGCCACCAAAAACCAATCGGGACCCTATTCCGGCACCCTGTCAGAGGGGGGAATCATCACCGGTGGGCATCTTCATCATCCCAGCGCTCTCCATGATGAGGAGGGAGTAGTTCATCCTCGGGGCTGAGGGTATGTACCACTAGCTATGTGTTTGATCCCTCTCTCTCTCTCTCGTGTTCTTGGTTTGGCACGATCTTGATGTATCACGAGCTTTACTACTATAGTAGGATCTTATGATGTTTCTCCCCCTCTACCTTCTTGTAATGGATTGAGTTTTCCCTTTGAAGTTATCTTATCTGATTGAGTCTTTAAGGATTTGAGAACACTTGATGTATGTCTTGCATGTGCTTATATGTGGTGACAATGGGATATTCACGTGATCCACTTGATGTATGTTTTGGTGATCAACTTGCGGATTCAGTGACCTTGTGAACTTATGCATAGGGGTTGGCACATGTTTTCGTCTTGACTCTCCGGTAGAAACTTTGGGGCACTCTTTGAAGTTCTTTGTGTTGGTTTGAATAGATGAATCTGAGATTGTGTGATGCATATCGTATAATCAAACCCGCGGATACTTGAGGTGACATTGGATTATCTAGGTGGCATTAGGGTTTTGGTTGATGTGTGTCTTAAGGTGTTATTTTACTACGAACTTTGGGGATGTTTGTGACACTTATAGGAATAACCCAATGGATTGATCGGAAATAATAACTTTGAGGTAGTTTCGTACCCTACAATAATCTCTTCGCTTGTTCTCTGCTATTATTGACATTGGAGTGACTCTTTGTTGCACGTTGAGGGATTGTTATATGATCTAATTATGTTATCATTGTTGAGAGAACTTGCACTAGTGAAAGTATGAATCCTAGGCCTTGTTCCGAAGCATTGCAATATCGTTTTCGCTCACTTTTATCGCTTGCTACCTTGCTATTTTTATATTTTCAGATTACAAAAACCTATATCTACCATCCATATTGCACTTGTATCACCATCTCTTCGCCGAACTAGTGCACCTATACAATTTACCATTGTATTGGGTGTGTTGGGGACACAAGAGACTCTTTGTTATTTGGCCGTAGGGTTGTTTTAGAGAGACCATATTCATCCTACGCCTCCCATGGATTGATAAACCTTAGGTCATCCACTTGAGGAAAATTTGCCACTATCCTACAAACCTGTGCACTTGGAGGCCCAACAATGTCTACAAGAAGAAGGTTGCATAGTAACATCAAGCACTTTTCTGGCATTGTTGTCGGGGAGGTTAGTGCTTGAAGGTGTATCTTTAGATCTTGCAACTGAATCTTTTAGTTTCTTGTTTTATCACTAGTTTAGTCTGTAAAAGAAAACTACAAAAAAATGGAATTGAGGTTGCCTCATATGCTTCATCTTTTCAATGTCTTTCGTGAAAATAAGGATTTCGATAATTGTTCTCAATTGCTAGAGGAAGAGTGTAATAAAATGTTTGGCATAAAATATTTGTATGATGAGCATGATTGCAATGTTGTTAGTATGAATTCTTTGAATATCCATGATGCTAATGATATGCAAAGCTACAAGCTTGGGGATGCTATGTTTGATGAAGATGATATTTTTAGTCCCCCAGGTTTTGATGAGCAAATTTATTTTGATGATAGCATGCCTCCTATTTATGATGATTATATTTATGAAAGTGGGTTTGGAAGAGTGCTAACTCTAGGTAATATTGATCCCACTATTTTGGAGGGCGTTGAATCTTTTCACAATATTGATAAAAGTGGATTTGGAGAGGTCATGACTTTATTTAGTGATGAATCCACTATTTCGGAAGAGGTTCCAATTGATTATGAGAACAAAGTTGCTATCTATGATGATTATTGTGATAACATGTATACTATAAAGAATAATGATAACCATGGAACTTGTCATCTTGAATTTAATTTTCAATTGGATTATGCCTCACATGATAGTTATTTTGTTGAGTTTGCTCCCACTACTATTCATGAGAAGAAATTTGCTTGGGTGGAGAGTAATAAAAATTCTATGCTTGTGCATCATGAAAATAATGCTTTATGTGATGCTTATATTGTTGAATTCATTCATGATGCTACTGAAAATTATTATGAGGGAGGAATATATGTTTGTAGGAGTTGAAATAATATCAAGTTTCCTCTCTATGTGTTGAAAATCTTGAAGTTATGCTTGTTTTACCTTCCTATGCTAGTTGATTCTTGTTCCCATAAGTTGTTTGCTCAAAAAATCCCTATGCATAGGAAGTGGGTTAGACTTAAATGTGCTAGTCATATGCTTCAAGATGCTCTCTTTGTGTTTCAATTCTTATTTTTTATGTGAGCATCATTGAAATCATCATGCCTAGCTAGAAAGGCATTAAAGAAAAGTGCTTGTTGGGAGACAACCCAACATTTACCCCCACTGTTTTTGTGTGTCCACATGATTAAGCTACTGTACTAATCATGTTTTATATCTTTTGTTTCAATAAAGTGCCAAGCAAAGCCTTTGAGATAGTGTGGATGATAGTTGACTTGATTCTATGCAAAAACAGAAACTTTTGTGCTCAGTCCAGGAAATTTGAAAATTCACTGGAACGTGATTTTGATCTAAATTTTTTACACAAGATTGATATACAAATTTCCTAGATTGTCCTAATTTTTCAGAATTTTTGGAGTTAAATAAGTATGGAAAGTTTCCAGATTACTACAGATTGTTCTGTTTTTTGACAGATTCTATTTCCTATGTGTTGTTTGCTTATTTTGATGAATCTGTGAGTAGTATCGGAGGGTATGAACCATGAAGAAGTTGGAATACAGTAGATACAACACCAATATGAATTTAGAATGAGTTCACAACAGTACCTAAGTGGTGATTTATTTTCTTATACTAACGGAGCTTACGAGTTTTCTATTGAGTTTTGTGTTGTGAAGTTTTCAAGTTTTGGGGAAAGTTTTGATGGACTACGGAATAAGGAATGGCAAGAGCCTAAGCTTGGGGATGCCCAAGGCACCCCAAGGTAATATTCAAGGGCAACCAAGAGCCTACGCTT